ATATGTGGTGTGTGTGTGTGTCTGTGTATATATATATATATAATTTCTCCATAACAATGATTGATTTTAGATTCAAAACACAAAAATAATATATAGTTACTTGAGAAAGAAAGAGGGAAGGGTTAGTTTGACAATTTCTATTGCATGTAGTCCTCAATTTTATTTTTATTTTTATTATTATTTTTTTCCCCCTTTAAAAACTTAAACACATGTTAATGTTTTATTAGGCCACCTCATCTTAAGAAGGAGGTTCATTGCAAACATTATATTTTTATAAATAAGGAACTAAATACAGCCTTAGAGCATCTTCAACCCACATAACTTTTACAAACTTTTGAATTATTTAATTTTAGCCTTAATGGTTGTTTTATACCTTTTGTGTAAAAATATATCTCCAAATAACAATCAACCATGTGTCATGCCAAAACCCACATAACTTTTACAAACTTACTTAATATATGGTTGATTCTTTAATGGAATGAGAAAGAGGGATGAAAAAAGAAATATGTTGATTTGGTCGTATAAAAATGTTATATATTTTACACAACTTTTTTACACATTGGTGATGTGGCAATCTATCTTAACATATTACTGGAGATGAAAAAAATTTACACATCATAAATGGCAGTGTATATTTTACATAAAATAATATTTTAACATACTGCTGAAAATGCTCTTAAATAACTATGCCTATTATATATTTTCATCCTCATCTAAAATAACCAAACTATCTGAGTAATGTACATATGTATACATTTTGTACAGAGAGTTTTACTCTCTTATCTCCCAATTAGCACATCCAACTCTTTTTTTCTCTTCCATCACGCATATCAGCATGGGGTAACGTAGGGGTTTAAAAGGCTTGTTGCATGTGCTAAGTACAATCGTGTTCCCTACGAAAGTGGCGTTATCCATTTATTGCTTTCTAGTTATAGTTGTATACTTGTATAGTTGTTCATTTCATTCCTTTACTTTCTAGTTCATTGCTAGGGACTAGTAATATTTAAGTTTGGGGGTGTGATGAGCACTGAAAAGTGCGTATTTAAACCCGTTAAGCTTAGGTATTCTAGAACCTTTATCTATCTTACTTTACCGTTTTATATTAATTTCGTGTTAATTCCATTCTCAGGCACTTATCTCGAAAATAAGCTAACTCAGCCAAATAAGAGCTTAAAAGGAGCAATTCTGGGATTGGACAAAGAAAGGAGCAAAGTGGAGAAAGAAAAAAGCAAAAAGGAAGAAAGGTGGTCATTCAAGATTCTCGATCGATCAAAGATGAAGGTTCGATCGATCCAAAATGGATCGATTTCAGCATTTCAAGATAGATCCAAACCTTGACCCAAAATAAAAAGCCTAAAGTTCGATCGATCCAATACCATCCTTCGATCGATCGAACACTTTTGTCCTCATTAAAATGATTAATCTTATTCACAGCTGTCCACCCACCTACCACTTTTGTCCTTTTCCTAAAAATATCTCAAAAATATCTCAGACTTGTCCTTATCCAAAAAGCGTAGCCCAGTTGGATCGATCCAGCCTTAGTTCGATAGATCTCAGCCCAATTCAATTGATCTAAGTACAAGGTTCGATAGATCGAACTTCCTCCAGTGCGAAAAAAGTTAAAATCCCAGCTCACTAAAGTTGTCCTCTCTCCAATCATTAGAGAATATTGGGTGCATGACCCCAGCTCATTTGGTGTGTCACTTGACCTACCTATAAAAGGAATATGATGCACTTTTTGAGAAAAGACACACATTAGAGATACAATTAGGAGGAGGCAATTCTTAGTGTAGAAGAAAAGGAGGAGAAGGCTAGAGACACCATTGGAGCCCTTTTATCTTCCAAGGAGCAGATTTCATCCATGGAGCTTGCCCTTGAGGGTTGGAGGAGCATCACCATAAGTGGCTAGACATCCTCTTGGGGCTAGAGTTAGCCCCAAGCATACTTTCTTTACCTTAATCTTGTGTATTATTGAGGGATTAGTGCTGTAACACTTGTTTTGACACTTTGATTTATATAGATCTTGTTTATTCAATGATTTGTATGGTTTAATGCTTCCAATTGTTCATTTTATTCTATCCATATGTCTATGTATGCTAGAATAGATGTTCATGTGCTTGTCTCTATCTCTTGTGTTATTGATGCATGTCTATGTGTATTGATGCTATAGATCTAAAGATTGTCAAGACATAGTGCTTAATGGAATGCTATTGTAGTTCAATTGATGGTTCATACTTATTTCTTGATGGGTTGTGCCTCTCCTTAGTTTAATTTCATGCTAGTAGTGTAGTTGTAGTGTAGATGATAAATAGGAGGATAATCCATGCTTGTTGTTTGATATTCCATGCTTTTGGATGAAAATAGCATATATCTCTAACCTTGTGGTGTATTTGGATTGTGAGCTTAATGAAAGGATTAATGACTTGTTTTGATCTATTGTGCCTTTCACATGTTGTTTAGACAATATATACTTCATTGATTAGATATATTGTGTCTTTCACATGATGTTTATACAATACAAGCTCAATTGGTCATCCTTGCTTGTTGAATCAACCAATCACACACACACAAATGTTGCAACACACCTTACCCTCATTAGTCACTTGTGAATGGTATAGAAATGCATTGCTTGGTGGTGACCTCTAAACCCCAAGACCTCTCTCTATCTCTTTTACTTACTCTTTATTGCATTCATACTTAGTTCAATTTAGTTGCTCTCTAGTGTAATCAACCAACCAACCAACCATTTGTTTGATCATTCGACCTACTAACCCTAGTTGCAATTCCACAACACAATTCGACCTAACACAAACACACAATCCCTTGGGACGATCCCTGCTCACCCTAACTATATTTTTAATAAAGGTAGTAGTGGCTTTATAAATGTAAAACTTGGCCCTCGCCTTAATGAACACTCTCCAAACTTGACTGTAGTACGATGGAACCGGCCACCAACCAAATTTGATAGTCTACGGATTAAAGGAAGTCTATCATTTTATTTTTCCAATAACCGTAGTTTGTTCCATCAAACCAAAGAGGTCTAGAATTAGATTGACCTTCTTAATGAAAGTGACCATTTAAGTTTTCCATAATCATTCTCTAATACACTTAAGCCTTTTCAATAGAGATTAGGCTCTGATACCAATTATTGCCCAAGTATTGGCTCTGGAGGGGGGGTGAATAGAGTCTTAGCAAACAATGGTCAATTTTTAATTTCAATTAACATGCAAGAACTAAGCTTAACTTTCTTGACAATTATTTAATAAAGCAATCTGAATTTTAAACTTCAATTAACAATATTTATCAAGAAATTAATCATGCTAAACTTGAAGCAATAAATATACGAGATAGAGATAGAAATTGCAAACAAGTACTCAGCGATTTTAGCGAGGTTCGGAAACTCCTACTCCTCGGCTCAAGACCCCTCTTGAGACTTCCCAATCCACTATGGCTTCTCCTTGCTGGTGGAGAGCAAACCTTTTACAAGAAGCACCTCTTGCTTTAAAGTGCTAAGAGAAACACCTTCTCTCAGTCTTCCTTGGGCCACACCTGCCCTTACAAGATTTGAAGAAGATAAATGAAGTACAAGAGGATCTCTCTCAGATCTGAAGTACAAATTTTAGCTCACTCTAGAGTATGAATGAATAGACTGAAGCTCAATACTTTATAAAGACTATGAAGTGTGTGAATGATGATTTAAAGGCTTTATGGTTGCAAGGATATAATTCTCAATTGTTGCAATGCCTTTTATGAAAACCATAAGTCATTATATAGAGTTTCAGATGTCTCTGATATGTGTTCTAACTGTCGGACACATAGTTCGAAACAAAATAGCCGTTCAAAATTTGAATCGCGCTGGTTTGGTCGACCGAAATGAAACACCATTGTGTTTCGGTCGTTCGAAATAGTTTAAGGTTGGCTATCAATCTTTATTTCGGTAGGCTAAAATGATTTACCTTTTTGTTTCGGTCGACCGAAATACCTTGATCTTTTGATCTAAAACTCTTTATTAGAATCGATCGTCTGATTCATTTGACTCCTATGTTTCGGTCGTCCGAAATAACTAGAGGTTGGATTCCATAAATTCATTTCAGTAGGCCGAAATGATTTGGTGCTTTATTTCGGTAGGCCGAAATAGCTTGAAGCTTAGTTCCAAACTCTCTATTTATATCGGTCGACTGTTTCAGTCTGTTCTTTCATTTCGGTCGACCGAAATGAAACTTATCTTTCAAGAAGCATTCTTTAAGTTTATAGATGGTTTTCATTCTCTATGCATCTTGATTATTATGCAAGTGATTAGTGTATGACCTTAGATATGAGCTTCAAAGTGTTAATATATGCTTTAACAATGGTTCCCAAAAAGCTCACCATCCTAGCTACCCCATTTGATGAGATCTTGATGACTTCTCTTTAAATCTTGATTCCTTTTGTCTTTTTCCTGTATATTCATGCTGCTCCTTCATTTGTGCTTTTATATGTAATGTCTTGTCTTGATGAAAACGTAGATCTGTAATTTTGCTCAAGGTAGACATTAGAACACATAGAACATCATTAATGAATTATGATCATCAAAAGCTTTGGATTCAAGGTCAACATCTACGTTTCCTCAAATAAAGATTGGCTTTTGTATAAACATGAATCATTCTTATAAAAGCATTTTGATCTGACCTCGAGCACTCTTTATTATGCAATCTTAAAATGGCAAGGAACTTGGTTATGTCATGAGTTATGGCCCAAACAAAAATGATGAACAAGTTAGATAAACAACCAAAACAAGTGCCATTTGAGCACAAATTCACCTAAGAAGAAAAGTAAAAATATGTCCCAATTTCAAATGATAACAACAAAAAATGGAAAAAAAAAATTAAAAAAATTGAAAAAACTTAAAATTATTAACAACAAAATTGAATCAATTTACGAATGAATAAATCATAAAATCCGAGTTTCCAAAGCTTAATTCATAAAATCAAAGATTGTATAAAATTTTAACTTAGGTTTGGTGGGGGTGTGCCAGGCCAAGCTATATAGTGCAACACCAAGGCAACATGCAAGAAGCCCAATAGTAAGCTATTGTGGTGGACCCTCCCCCTCAAAAAATAAATTTAATATCACGTGGGCCATTGGCCCACGTATTAGATATTAAACTGATAAGAATAGATACTATACTCGATCTTAGCCAAAAGGCCAAGAAAGGTATGAATTGCATATTCACCAGCCTCTCTTTTTATAATAAACTCTCTCTCTCTCTCTCTCTCTCTCCACTTTTCTCTCTTAACCGATGTGGGACTTAGCTAAAGCATTTCTCTTGGTTATTCTTCATGGTCATAGCTTTCATGATATATCTATTTGATGCCCTTAACTTGCTTCTGAGTCAAGTCATATTAAGCGAGAGCGAGAGCAAATTCGAGAGCGGGAACACGAAAGTAACAAAATTAAATCACAAATAGTGGGAGTAGAAGCGAGAGCATGTGCGGAACGTGAAAGCGGGAGCACGCTCAGAGCATAAGAGTGACACCCATTTATAAAAATTGTGTGACTTAACTTCTTGTTGATCAAAGTCCAAACCCATTTGTTTTGATGATAACAAATCAGTTAAAGGAGTTTTTTATTCTAATATTTCAACTGAGTTTAAATGCAAGGAAATAAATGCTTCTTAATTTAAGACATGACAAGAGAATGCAAAAACAAGAAAATGCAAATGTTCTACAAAGCAGAGGCAAAAATTCAAAGAACAGCATGCCATACGTCGACCGGTTCATGCCATACATCGACCGGTATCTATGCAATAGCCAAATCCAAGGAGAAGCTCATATACGTCAACCGGTTCATGCCATACGTCGACCGGTATCTATGCAGTAGCCAAATCCAAGGAGAAGCTCATATACGTCGACCGGTTCATGCCATACGTCGACCGGTATCTATGCAGTAGCCAAAACTCAAGAAGAAGCTCTATACGTCGACCGGTTTGAAGCATACGTCAACCAGTATCTATGCAATAGCAAAATTTATGAAGTGTTCATATACGTCGACCGGTTTGCATATACGTCGACCGGTATCAAGGCAATACTGAAATCTCAGGAACTTAACATATACGTCGACCGGTAAGTAGCATACGTCGACCGATTTGATAAAGGATACGTCGACCGGTTTGGTCGTAGCTCTGCAGATTCAAAATTCCAACGGCTAGAATTTGAATTAATGCTTCCAACTACCTACAACAGCTCTATTGAACTCGAAATCTCTTCAAATATAGATAGATGGTCTACAAACAAAGACACTTCTTCAAAAGATCATTCAAGAACATCATCTAAGTGCATTCAAGAGCATTAAAAGGAGTCTGAAATTCTGATCTGAGCATTTACTTCTTATTCCTTCTCTCATATCAGTTTAAGAAACTAGAACTTCATTTATGTCATCTTTCCATTCTAGTATGAGACTAATTCTTGTAATATCCTCTAGAGAGAGAGAGAGATAGAAACAATATTATAATCTCCATATATCTCTACATTCTTGTAAGGGTTGGTGTGACCCAAAAGCAAAACTAAGGAGAAGGGTGTTCTCCTAGCAAGGAAAGAAGCAAAGTCTTGCTTAAAGTTGAAGGTTTGCTCTCCACCATTAAGGAGGAGCTTTAGTGATTTGGAAAGTCTCAAGGGAGGACCTTGAGCCGAGGAGTAGGAGCTTCCAAACCTCGCTAAATTGCCGAGTCACTGTTTGCAATTCTCTATCTCTATACTCTTTAATTGTGATCATATTGCTTGAATATCTTTATTGTATATTGCATTCTATTTAGTTGTGAACAAATTTTTAATTTTACAAACATTGATTATGGACTCTATTCACCCCCCCTCTAGAGTCAATTATTGGCTAACAATTGGTATCAGAGCCTAATCTCTAGCAAAAGATTTAATCATCTTAGAGAACGATCATGGCCAATACAATGTTTCATCAAGAAGGTCAATCTAACAATAGACCTCCTTGGTTTGATGGAAGTGACTACAACTATTAGAAAATCAAAATGAGAGCATTTTTAAGAGGTATAGATATAGACGTTTGGAAAGCCATCGAACAAGGAGACCATGTTCCAACCAAAATAGTAAATGATGAAAATGTTCCAAAAACTGATATTGAATGGACCCTCAATGATCGTAGGCTTGTACAATGTAATGTCAAAGCTATCACGAATCTCTATTGTGCCTTAAGCAAAGATGAATTCAATAGAATTTTGGATTGCGAAACGGCCAAAGAAATTTGGGATAAACTTGAAATTACCTATGTAGGTACTAGTCATGTTAAGGAATCCAAAATGAATATGCTTGTCCATAAATATGAACTCTTTACCATGAACAACAAAGAAACTATTAGTGAAATGTATTCTCACTTTACTAACATTGTGAATCCTTTGAAGGCTCTTGGAAAGTCATATACATCATCCGAGAATGTAAGAAAAATTCTTAGGTCTTTGCCTAAAAATTGGGAAGCCAAGAAGACCGTCATTCAAGAGGCTAAAGATCTCAACATCCTTCCCATAGACGAACTTATTGGCTCATTGATGGCATATGAGCTAGAAATGAATGATAGAGATGAAGAAAAGGAAACTCAAAAGAAGGACATAGCTCTTCAAGCTACTACCAAAGATGTCACTATTGATAAGGCTTCTAATGATAAAGACGAAGAAGAAGTTGCTCTCATTACCAAAACCGTGCGAAGGATTCTTCAAATGAAGAAATTCCAAAAGAGTAACCACTTCAAAAGAAATAGTTCATCTAGTGAGCAAGGAAAAAGAAAAGCACCTACTTGTTTCCATTGTGGAAAATCGGGGCATTTCAAATCTGATTGCTACGCTTACAAAAATGAAAAGGAAAGGAAAAAGAAAGGCAAAGCCATGCGAGCTACATGAGAGGATGATGATTCAAATGGATCCGAAAGTGACGATGAATTCAATGAATTGGTTAACCTTTGTCTCATGGCCGACAAAGATGAGGTAAACTCTAATCACGACTCATTTGATTTAGAAACTACTTATGATGAATTAGTTGATGCACATAACTATTTGCTAGATGCTTTTAAAGAATTGCATGATGAATTAGGCAAAATGGTTCAAAAATGTGCTAGCCTTAGAAGAGAAAAGTATCTCATTTCTCAAAACCTTGAAAAATCTAAACTTGAAAATGAAGTTTTGAAAAAGGAAAAAGAATTGGCCAAAGAATTGGTGCCAATTGACTTAATCACTGAAAATGAATCATTGAAGGTTATCATTGAAGATCAAACTGAGATTTTAGCTAAATTTACTAATGGTAGAGAAAAATTAAACCTCATACTTGGAAAACAAAGAAATGCTTATGCTAAGGATGGGCTTGGTTATAATCCTCACAATAAAGATTCTTATTTATTGAAAAAGAAAAATTCGTTAAATAACCATTTTGTTAGAAGTTCATCTTTTAATCCAAAATGCAATTATTGTAAAAAGATAGGTCATAAGATCAATCATTGCCCTATTAGGCCATGTATGACAAAAGAAATTTGGGCTATTAAAGGAACATATATACCTCTACCTAACTCTCGTAGACCCAAGAAATTATGGGTACCAAAAGAAGATTACTTGAATTCATTTTGTAGGTTTGCTTGAAGTCTCCATATTCATCCAAGGACAAATGGTTCCTTGATAGTGGATGCTCAAGGCATATGACGGGAGATAAATCAAAATTTCTCTCTATCAAGCCTCTCAAAGGAGGAAGCGTTACATTTGGTGATAACTCAAAAGGGAAGGTTATTGGCATCGGAACTATTAGTATCTCCTCTTCCTTATTTATTGATGATGTCTTCCTTGTTAAAGGCTTGAAACATAACTTATTTAGTATCAGTCAATTATGTGATAAAGGATATGATGTGTTGTTTAAATCGGATAAATGCATAGTCAAAAAGGATAATGATGAAGTATTTCATGCTCTTAGAAATGGTAATGTATATACTTTGCTTTTGTGTGAATTACATGATCTAGATGTTAAATGCCTTGTTTCTTCAAATGAAAATAGTTGGTTATGGCATTGACGGTTAGGTCATGCTAGCATGGATTTAATCTCGAAATTATCTTAAAATGAATTAGTCAAAGGCCTCCCAAAGACTAATTTTTTGAAGGATAAAATTTGTAGTGCATACCAAATAGGGAAGCAAATTAAATCGTCATTTAAAAGGAAAAAGGAATTAACCACTTCTAGACCACTTGAGTTGATTCATATGGATCTATTTGGTCCGGAGAGAATTGCAAGTCTTGGTGGAAAACTCTATGCATTTGTCATTGTTGATGATTACTCTAGATTCACTTGGGTGTTTTTCCTTACCCATAAAAATGAAACCCATTCAATTTTTGCTAAATTCTGCAAAAGAGTTGAGAACGAACAAGAGTGTAAGATTAAGACTATTAGGAGTGATAGAGGAAGAGAGTTTGAAAATCAAGATGTTGAAAATTTTTGTGATAAAAATGGTTATAATCATAATCTTTCGGCTCCTAGATCTCCTCAACAAAACGGAGTTGTCGAAAGGAAAAATAGGTCTCTCCAAGAAATGGCTAGGACTATGTTAAATGAACATAAATCTCCTAGAACTCTATGGGCCGAAGCCGTTAGTACCGCATGTTATGTCATAAATAGAGTCATTATTAGAAAATTTCTCAACAAAACCCCTTATGACCTTTGGAACAAAAGAATGCCAAACATTGGTTATTTTAAGGTGTTTAGGTGTAAATGCTTTGTGTTGAACGATAAGGATAACTTAGGGAAATTTGAACCTAAATCGGCTGAAGGGATTTTCTTAGGGTATTCATCTCGTAGCAAAGCATTTAGGGTATTTAACAAAAGAACATTTGTTGTTGTTGAATCTATACATGTTGTATTTGATGAATCACCTCTCTCCCTTCTTAGATGTTCTTTGGATGAAAATGAGGATGTGGTTGAAATTGAAAAGAATCTTGAAAATCTTGACTTAAATAATTCATCTCGTGATGATCTCTCCAAAGTCAATTCAAAAGAAAGTCACTCTCATGAGGAAACACCTCCTAAAACTTGGAAGCAAGTGACCTATCATCCAATTAATCAAATCATTGGTGATCCATCCAAAGGTGTAAGGACTCGATCTCAAATAAGCAATATATGCAATTATGTTGCTTTTGTTTCACATTTTGAACCAAAATATATTCAAGAA